AGGTGAGGCTGTTGACATGACTTGGTCTGATGCTCTTGTGTGTACGTACGTGTACTTGCATAAGTTCACTCGTTCCTACCATGCATACAGACATACATCCATGCATGCATACACACATACATGCATACATACATACATACATGCATACATACATACATCCGTACATACATACACACATGCAGATATGAATACATGCATACATGCATGCATGCATACATACTCGCATACATACATACATACATACATACATACATACATACATACATGCATACATGCATACATGCAGCATCCGTACATGCTTACATAATGACATACATACATACATACATACATACAGAATGACATAAACACATACATACATACATGCATACATACATACATGCATACATACGTACCTACATACATACATACACACAAACACACATACATACATACATACATACATACATACATACATACATAAATACATACATACATACATACATACATGCATACATATACTTATACATATACTTATACATATACATATACATATACATATACATATACATATACATATACATATATATATATATACATAAACATATACATGTACATATACATACTTACATACATATACGCATACATACATACATACAAACATACAAACAAACAAACACACAAACAAACGAACAAACAAACAAACATACATACATGCATGCATGCATGTATACATACATACATACTACTACACAGATACATGCATACATATAAATGCATGCATGCATACGCCCACACGTGCATGGCTACATTGGCTTACACAAAATACCTAAAGACATACATACAGAGAGACTTTTCATCACACCGGCTATACGAAACCGAACACCAGGCGATGTAGCTTAAATCTGATGAAAAACCAGACTTGATCTGCTCCAACCCGCGAATGTAAACACACCCGGCCTCACCACCGGGCGCGTCACTGCCTGCTCAGCTGTGGCACCTTGAGGCGCAGATAAGTTCAACTGGCGTTGGTTTTGCGGGCCTTTCGTTCGAGCGTCTTTGGCTTTGGGCGTGGAGTGACAGTGAAGCTCTTGAACTGACCAATTCAGAACAGTTTCATTCTCCATCGGGTCGGGTCGTGCACGTGACACGTCGGCTAAATACAAACCATCAATTTCAATGACATTATCTCACTGCAGCAGGTGGGTTTGCTGGTAGCCGAGGAACACGAAAGCAGACTTATTTCAGTGGTAGCACGGAAACAGACCTGTTACTTCAAAACAATCCCGTGTTCTTCTTTTTTGCTTGCGAAACAAGTTGTTTCTGTTGAAACGGGCTCGTTCTGGGCGCCTTGAGCTTGTGGATGGAAGACAGGCATTGCTGTAAGCCAGTGACAATGTGCTTCTTGGGCAACTGGGGCCTTGGGGAGGAAGATTCTGAGCTGCGCAAAACTCAGCAATCGCTTTCCAGCAATTTGATATTCGAGTCAGGTCTCTCAGGAATGAGCGAGCCCTAAACCCTAAACCACACGATTTCAAGGGAAGCTGGGTGCTCTGCCGACAGGCTCAGCACAGCAGGGTAGGAGTGGGCTTGGCAGGATGCTCTCGCACGGAAGACGAGCATTCCTAAACAAAGTCTGAGGGCTGCCCATGGCCTCAAGAAGCCGTGTAACACCTTAGCACCTGTCTGAAAACTATCCCATACTCTGCCCCTGAAGCCCGACTCTGTGGCAGTTAAGGTCCGCACCTGCCGGCTGATTCCTCGGTGACACCTGGCAGACCTGTGTGGCGATTTGCTTGGGCTCTGGCAGAGTATCAGTGCCACTTGGACAGACCGCGAATGGAGTACCGCAGACTTGTTTCAGCAAGAAAAGTCTTGCCGTAACACGCTTATGCACTGCTTGCTCGCTTCGAGAAAGTCGAGGCCATTGTGCTCGAACAAGCAAGCATTCAACTCATACTGTCTGCCAGCATGCACAGGAGAGACACTGCCTCGTAGAACATTGCCAAAAGCTAAACCGAAGAACGCATATTCTGAGACGGGCATATCATGTAGACTCGTCTAGACGCGACCCGTTCCCTTCTCTGATCTTTGCCTCTCGAGACCAGTCACGAGCGGGATCTGATATGGGAAAGGGGCCATCTTTCTTGCATTCCATCGACAAAACCATGAGGCGGCTTCTTGAAAGCAGGCAAGATCTCACATCTATGCAATTAAGTTTCCGGCAGGTGGCTTCGGCGGCCAGTTCGACCTTGGTCTTGACATCAACAAGCAAAATCTGATGCACATACAACGATCGGCTCGTGGCGGTTGACAACCCCATTGCCGTAAGAAAACGAGAACAGTGTCAAGGTCCATGCCTGCCTCATTCGACACCAGTACCATGGAAGCCCAGGAGAAACACATTGATTCGCAGAGCAAGTATTAAGGGATTGCCGCTTCTCGGGATGTTGGACGCGAGCTTGCAAATTCGCCACAAACTCCCGGCCCACTTCGAAACCAGAGCTTCCTTGCCGCCCAACTCACCCTAATCCTTGCCCTCCGGTACCTCTGTATAATATGCTATAATATACTACGATCTGCTCTCATATAATACAATACCTATAGTCTCCATTGTAGTTCCTTTTTGGGGATACCTTATAAAATCCTTCATATATAATTGGTTAAACCAAAAAAAAAAGGAACTACAATGGAGACTATAGGAATATGCTCTTTTCTTCCCTGCCCTGAGCCGAGGAGGTCGTACTTCGAAGGGGAGTTCCCCAATGTGAGACCGGAAAACGCAGTCCGCAGATTTGGGGTCTTATGTTTCAGGCATGTCTGCAAGTGTTGTTAATGTACACACACACACATATATATATATATAACACCGATAGCAATGCTGATGAGTATTTTTATGTGTATACATACATACATGCATGCATACATACATACATACATACATACATACATACAGACAAGCCTGAGTCCAAGATGTACGACATGCTGCAGGTGTGTCGGTAAAATGTGACATATAAGTAACACATATGAGGAATGTAACACATACATACAAATCCTATTCCGCTCTGGTGGCTCCGTAAACTGAGGATCCTACTTTCCGGGTTCTCGAGTGAAGCTCTTGGTTTTATGCACTTCCCATCTCGCTGTAAGCCTGCGCCAATGAACTTACCCGGAACTCCAACAAACAGAGAGCCGATTGAAGTCATCGACTCTGCTTACTGCGTCCACGCTACAACACTCCAGAGTTGATGTCAGCTAGAGCTCTATGTGTCGAGAAGCCTAATCGAGAATAGGGGGCCTCAACAAAGCATGTTCGGGGACTTGTGTTCACCTCGCAAAACTTCTTCTTTTTGTCATCCTGAGTACCAGAAGATAATCGCAAGTTCCCATTGTCAGAAGCGACGGAGCACAACCATCCAGTGAGTTGAAGATGGTCTGAACAGCCACAGGCGTCGCAACCAGCATTTCTGAAACCCCGACCTACGAAGCGAGGCTCATGTGTGAGACCGGCTCAGCTGCTTCAAACACTCTGCAGACATCCTTGCGACTGTCACGCCATGATCGCTGGCCAGCAGCCAACCTGCTGCGAAGCTTCCGTCACACGTCCATAACTTACTTTGAGGCTTCGGGTTTAAAGTTTAGAGCTTCCACATTAGGGCGGGTGGCTGGGTGGGGGGGGAGGGGCTTGAATTTCAGGGATTGCTCCTCGGTGCCTGAAACCAGGATCATAGAGAATAAAGACCAACCAGAGTAGATCGTCAGGTGGAGGGGCTCGGCTCCCGTCCCCAGTGTCACAAGCCAGAACATGCACAAAAGCTACACTGCACACCCTAAAAACTCCGCGAATGAGATGCGAGACTTCCACCACATGCAGATCCGAAAGGAACTTCCACACTGCAGTGCCTGGTTTAGATGGCTTGCTAAGGTTCCAGCCGTTTGAAATTGTGACACATCGACCTTTGGGTAACTCAGCTGGAGCCGACCCTAGAACCTGAATAATCATCATAAACCCTATTCCAGCCCTAAAGCCCTAGCCCCAAACAAGAACCTGAATCTCCAAACAACAACAGAGCTTGACAACGAGCTGCCATCTCGGTCGGGGCCAGATGCTGTCAGACCTTCAGTCGAAGAGCGGTTTAGGGTTTAGGGGCTTGGGTTTAGGGTTTAGGGGTTTGGGTTTAGGGTTTAGGGGTTTAGGGGTTTAGCGGTTTAGGGGTTTAGCGTTTAGGGTTTAGGGGTTTAGGGGTTTAGGGGGTTTAGGGTTTAGAGGTTTAGGGTTTAGGGGTTTAAAGGTTTAGGGGTTTGGGGCTTAGAGTTGTGGCTGACGGGTTAAATAACGA